GTACGAATCATTCGTAACGATTAATTAGAATTAATACGATGAAAGATGTTCGATATTCGCAAATAGGTTCATTCACAGTCGCGATGTTCTCCGTAAACGATGCGTTGCCTCGTTGTTTCCCCTTTCGTTCGCGAAAGAAACAACATGCGCAAATGTTTTTCCTTTTTCTCGATCGCGAACTTAACTTCGATTTTTCATTATCATTCCCATTTCGACAATAAGTGTTCTTTGTACTTTTCTACGGAATAATCCTTACTTATCCTTAGCCTCGGTCAACAAGAAAAAAAGGGGAAGAGAGAAAGAGAGAGAGAGAGAGAGAGAGAGAGAGAGAGAGAAAGGAAATGTTCACGAAAAAAATAGAAAAAAAAAAAGAAGATGAAAAGGATTTTACGTGTACACGTGCATACACACACACATACACACACATACAGAAAGAAGAAAAAAGTTCACGAACGTAGGTGTCCACGGCGTCGTAAAGATGAATTATTAAAAGAGTAAAGGGGCAAAAATATAAAAAGTAAAAAAAATAAGAAAAAAAAAAAGGAAAAAAAAGAAGAAAAGAAAGAAGGTGGAGGAAGGGAGGGAGGGAGGATGAAAAGAAGACGAGAGTACCCTGTATCTGTCACTCGTTGACGAAACATTTCCGAATTCTGCACATACACTCCTTCACTTTTTCCATATGCGATCGTGTTTTCACTTACTAAAGAGGGATCGTCTCGTCCAACGAGTTCTCGTCCAATCCAATTTATAAAAAGTAATAAGAATCAATCACGCCGATTAACGAAAATAAATGAAAAGTAACGAAAATGAAAGAAAGAGGAAAGATTCCGGAGGAACTGGTCGGGCGAAGACGATCGAGAAAAATTACGTGTTGTATATATTAAATATATATATATATATAAAATAAATAAATATATATATATAAATATATTATAAATATTATGGTACGAGATTGAATATAATAGTAACGAATATATATATTATATATATTCTGTGTCGAGGGCACTTGGCTTGCAACTCGTAAATATTAAACTGAATGAACTTATTTATCCACTTGCACTCCAATTGCCGAGCGACCTGTCGTTATCCGTGAATTTTTTGAGAAAAAGACTATTATTGGGCAGAGAGAGTGAGAGTGAGAGTGAGAGTGAGAGTGAGAGTGAGAGTGAGAGTGAAAGAAGAAGAGAGAGAAAGAGAGAGAGGAGGGGGGAGGGGGAGGGGAGGAGGGCGAGAGAATGAGTAATAAGGTTATTATTAATATAACTTAAGCGTGAGTTTTAAAAAAGAATTTCGCGATGGACAAATGAGAGGAGAGAAATACGATCGTCCGGTCGTAAATATTATCTATTATCTATCCGGGCGAGGAAAAAAGGAGAGAACAGTGCGGGGGAAAAAGAAACTAGAGAGTTGGAAATTATTTAGAAAGTAAATAAATCGATTACACGTGGATGTACGTTGCCAATTAAATACTATACTTCGTATCGTGTTTGCAGTGTCGAAGCGTCGTTTGTGCCGTTAAAGAGGCTGACCCGTCAATATCAATGTGAGCAACGCACGTTTCTCTACCCATTGCTCTGCTAAATTCGAACACTTGAACTGCCTAAATATATTATTAATACATATTTAAACGATAAAAGAAAAGAAATGATAAACGAAGATATCATGATCAGGGCCCTCTTTAGTTTTATAGTAATATTAAAAAAGAAAAAAAAAAAAAGAAAGAAAAGAAAAACGAGTTTTACAAATCAAATTTTCGTCAATTAACAGTTATCTGTCTATCTGTTAGGTTAATCACTGTACAAAGAAATAATATTCTTCATACTGCCAATTTACAAATGTCTGATTTAGCGAAGCAAATGTGCAAGATTCGTGCATTCTCAATGCGAATCACGCGTAACGTTTTGTGGTATGTATTACTGTGTGACGAGCGACTTAATACGTATTAATGTAAATGTAAAACAGAGCCTAAAGAGGAGGGAAGAAACACAGCGTCTAACTTAACACGATGATAGAATGATGAAAGAGGACTGACGAGTCCAGGGCCGCCCGAATTTTTTTATATACGCATACGCTATATATAACTGTACACCGTTTCGAAAGTATTTTACAATATTATTACGCGTCTATTGAATCGTATTTCTTTTTTTTTTTACAATCGTCACGATGAAGATGATCATCCCTTGGACGAAATTGGCGATAAAGATTTTTGAATGGAAACAACTTCGAGAAAGATGAAGAACGTCAAGTTAAGATGTAATTAATACTCGATAGTCTCTCTCCCTCTCTCTCTCTCTTTTTTTCTCTCTCTCTTTCTTTCTCTTTCTCTCGAATTTATTTCTCGAGAACTTTCAACTTTTAATCGAATGAAAAATATCTCGTTCGATCCAAGATGATCGTCTTCAACGACGAAAAATGCGTCGAACCGAAATATCAAGAGTGAAGAAAAATCAGCACAAAACGGATGAAACGCGATTACAAACGACGAAGAGCCTTTAAAGGATATCTCACTGCCAATATATACACCGGGAACTCCGGAAATCCTTCACGATAAATCGAAGGACGCGGAGGATTTCATCGTTTTCGCTCGAATCCTTTATCGAATCCCCCCTGCAACCTAGAAACGAATTTGTCGAGGAACTCGTGTACAAGGGAGGAGAAGGAAAGAAAGAAAGAAATAAGGGATGGAGAGAAAGAGAGAAAACGAGAAAGAAAGGAAGAAAAAGTAAAAAAAAAAAAAAGAACGAGCATTCGTTGCCGTCTGTGGTATACATATACGACTTGTGTTCGACGACCTGTTCGTGCAACGCGCTTACGACAATGAAAGCACGTCAAAACGATAATCGATTAAACGCGAATTGATCGGTGAAAGGGAGAAATATAGAGAAGAGGTGGAACGTCCTTTTATAAGGAGTATTAAGCGCGGATATACGTTGATGTACAAAAATTCCTTGCGGTACATTTTAAACGATATTAAAACCGCTTATTTCGTAATTCATTTCTAATGGTTCATTATTCGTAATGGTTAATTATTATTATTTAAAAGCGACACGATGATCATGCTGCGATTACACTCGTATATGTATATTATATCTATTTGTATCAAAGATACATATAAATATGTTCTCGTTAGATCTATGCTCGTACGATATATGGAAATATCGGAAAATCTTTTTTCTTTTCTTTTCTTTTTTGAATTTTAGAATTCAAAACACAAAGAGATCGAATATAAAAAAAAAAAAGAAAACGTTTTCGTCGCGAAAGAAAAAAAGGACGAGAGGTTGAAAATTTGTAAAACTTCTAATAAAAATTAACGAGAAGATTTTTAGTGTAATATTATGAGAAGGCATGATCGTTGGCCATACAATGGAGTATATATATATATATATATATATTTATGTTAAGTCTAGATATTAAATACGACTATAAAGATCATGAGAAATATTGACGATCGCGAATACCTGATGACGGTGTTCTCTGAAACATTTTTAGAATGTTGATTATCGATCGGATGAGCACAAGCATACTACACCGTTGTTGAAAGGATATAATTTTTCGAAAACGTTTTCATACTTCGGTTATCGGTTGTTTCTTCTATTCTAGAATTCCTTTTTTTTTTTTCGTAACGAGGGCCCAATATATGTATATGCCGAGTATCACCGAGAAGGAAAACACTTTAAGAATACTTCA